TATATACAGTGTATTTTTATAATGATTGACACAATCAAATCTACATTGATGTTTACAAAGACATTGTGCCTATTGTATTTCCAGGCCAGTGCTCTGTCGCTGTGTACCATGATGACACAAACATGGACAACTGTTACCACATCAACTGTCCTGTATGTGTGAATCACCAAATCTACATGTATATTTACCAATCCCCTGTCTGTTCCAGGCCAGTGCTCTGTAGCTGTATACCATGATGACACTAACATGGACAACTGTTACCACATCAACTGTCCTGTATGTGTGAATCACTAAATCTACATGTATATTTACCAGTCCCATGTGTTTCCAGGCCAGTGCTCAGTAGCTGTATACCATGATGACACGAACATGGACAACTGTTACCACATCAACTGTCCTGTATGTGTGAATCACTAAATCTACATGTATATTTACCAGTCCCATGTGTTTCCAGGCCAGTGCTCTGTAGCTGTATACCATGATGACACTAACATGGACAACTGTTACCACATCAACTGTCCTGTATGTGTGAATCACTAAATCTACATGTATATTTACCAATCCCATGTCTGTTCCAGGCCAGTGCTCTGTAGCTGTATACCATGATGACACTAACATGGACAACTGTTACCACATCAACTGTCCTGACCCTCAGACCTGTGTGTACCAGGAGCTGGCAGGATACACGCTCGCTGTCATCAGTAGGGCTATACCACAGGTGGAGGCACTGGGGGGGACCACTACAGGTGTGTTAATCATTTACATAGACAAGTAAACAAGCTAGTGATCTGCTCCCTCATGCTAAATTTTTCTAGAAATAAACCTGTAATAGTACATAAACAATAGTAATAATGGTAAAATGTTTAACTTTATTCCAACACAAAGATTACACAGAGATCAAGTTTTAAACAACCACTGTCACCTTCATCAGGATAATAAGCTATTAATGACCAATCACTTCACAATGTGATCTCACAAGAGTTACGGTTACAGACACATGACCTTATTCACACAAGGCTTTTTACTATGATTACTGCCAACACAGATGAACTTCATGCTATAACATATAACAAGATTGAAATGTTTCCTTGTAACATTTTACTTGAAGTAGCTGAATGGTATTCCTGACTGTTAAAATAATAACTAATAATTTTGCTTTTTCTCTCATCACCTAACAGAAAAACCCTCCACTGTGACCACTAAGACAACCAGCACCAAGGCCCCAGAGGTGATACCACAGGAACGTATGTTCAATGAGAAACAGCAGGAAACAAGTACTGTAACAACAAAGGCACAGGCTAAACTAACCACTGAACAGCCTAGCACAGCTGCAAAACAACAAACAACTACTGCAAAACAAGAGACGAATCCTGCAACTGAAGGGCAACAACAGACAACGGCACAACCAAAACCAACAGGGTCACAACAAGAACAGACGTCGACCAAGCCATCCACCCAGCTGACAACCATTACAAGAACCACGACCACACCCAAGTCACTCACAACTCAAACCTTCACACAGAAGCAAACAACCAAGACGGCCACCACCACGACTACTACAGTTGTTAGCAAGGCCACAACCAAAGTTGATGAGAGCGTGCAGACAACACAGGCAAGCAAAACTCCAGAGGCAGCTGTGGAGGAAGTGAAGCAAACCACAGAGCCAGTGGTCGCGCCTACACAAGCCCCGACAAGCAAGGTCCAAACCGTACCACCTACAAATCCACCAGAAACGCAGAAGCCTTCTCCAAGCCCTCTGCCCAGTACTAAACCAACCACCACAACGTCAAAGAAAACGCAAGCGGTTACCGTCAAGACCAACCCAGTTCCAGAAGCAACCGTAGCTCAAACCAAAGCCAGCAGCACTGGAAAGAGTCCTGATGTTACAGCAGAGGATACACAGCCACCTACAACCAAACCTACAGCTGCAGTTACAACCAAAAAGTTGATGCCTGGCAGTACTGCTAAAGGCGAAGAAGCTCTTACACAAGCTAGCCTGGTACAGGGCACCTTAGGGCCACAAGTCGCCAACAGAAATGAGTCGGTTTCAACTGCAGACAAGATGGGAAAGTCGTCGTATGGTTCCCTCATCGTGGCCATGTGTTTCGGACTCCTGTTCCTGTTCGCGGTGGTTGTCGTTGTTGGAAAGAGATGGTACGAGAGTTGGCAGAGACGACACTACTCAAAAATTGACTATTTAATCAATGGCATGTATAATTAACTAGCCTCCAAGACTGACACATAAGCAAACTTCTCTTTACATGTACATAGCCTATGGTCTATGTACCAAGCATGATTTGTAGTAAGCTTTGTACATGTTTTTGCAAAAGATGTAGATGTTTTCATACAAGTTACAAGATTTAAACTCTTTTACTGATAATAATCAGAAATGTGTGTATGATATCAGAGATGCCATGTAAAGAATGTGCCTTACTAGTACAATATATATTTATGAACTTTAATCATGACATTTGAACTTCCTACCAAAAATAGCCTAAAACTTATACAACGATAGGGTGGGGTGGGGGGATAAAATTCTTAACTATGACTAGACTATGATTCAGCTATGATTTTGGACTGAAAGGTTTTTATTTCAAAACAGTTTGAAAAACAGTGAGTGCCAAGATTTGTGTGGTAGAATTATCTTTTTTTTTGTTTTACTTTGTAATCTTTCTAACTACCAGAGGAAAAAAGCTCAGCTACTTAACCTGTAGCAGCCAAAGGGTGCCTTGTAGTGCCAAGTATGTTCTGGCAACTAAATGACTTAGAACCCTAATGTTAAAATACAGAAGGATTGATATCAATTTACCTGTGATTGCCTTACCATTGATCTGGCACACAAAATCTTTGTTATATGCCAGCTGTGCATTCCAAGTCAAAAATCTTGAAATACTCATATTGTACTTGTACTAAGTACTTTGCAAATGCCTCTAAACATATAATAGCAAAAGAAAATGTCTTCCATAAGTAGTGTGTTAGAAGCTGAGGGCTGGAAGTGAAGTTTTTTTGGAAAATGGTAAGTAGAAAAATAGAAATTTTTGTGTTTTTAAAAGTTGGATGCAAGGAAGCAACATGACAATTTGTTCAAGGAGGTCAGTACATGTAGTTGAAACCTACAACATATGTCTATTATACATGTATCATTTTGAAAACAAGAAAGAAATGTAGATATTTTGAATTGATGTACTACTTGTAAAGAAAAGCATGGAAATGATATAGATTTTCTCAATCTATCAATCCACTACAATTCATTGACTGTAGTTTTGTAACCATGCCAATAGTGCCTAACTACTGATGTTGTCTTGTAAGTTGTAACACTTTAATTGTGGTAAATCAAATTCGTCTCATTTGAATTTTACTGTGTTTTACTTCTACCATTTGTTTCTTTTCGTACTAGATTTAGTGTTATTTTTGTGAGCACTTTGAGTTTTGCAAACTTGATGACAGTTTTTAAAACTCAAATATGATCAGTACATGTAATTGAGTGTGTATTGAAATTTGCACAATACAGTAATACTGAGAAACAAAAGCAATACTGGTATGAAATACTTTCAGGTATTTTTTGTCATCAACTTTGTGTTCTGTTGCAATTCATTTTATGTTAATCAGCTCAAGATTTTGTAAAACAATATAATGAATTACTGATATGTACTTACCAATATGTGTATAATGTTGCTGTATAGAGTTTTATTCAGAAAACATTAATATTTACTTGACAAATATCTTGATGTCATTTACAAATGTATATTATTACAAAGAAATGATATTCAGTGCCTCAGTAACAATGTCTAATCAGTAAAAATGCAGTAATAAAGCTGCTAAAATGTGTGCATATCTGTGTGTTTGTTTGTTTGTTTGTTTGTTTGTTTGTTTGTTGCAAATTTATTTTCAGGACCCATTAAGCCCAAAATATCAGCCATACATTTTCATAAGCATTAACAAATCGGCATGTACTACCAAAACAGGTTTTCTACAAATATCAATGTTTTCAAATCATAATTCTTAAAAAGATGCCATGTTTGGTGAAAAGAAGTGTACAAACAGCTGTCTAGTACACAACTGACTGTTGTTTTAAGCTAGAACTCTGAACTGTTAGGGAATCATATGACAGTATCACCCTATAGCACATTTTGTGTTATAGAGTGACATACATTTACGGTCAAAGTTCTAGTAGCTGTTGATCTAACCCTCGATCAGTCTATGGATTTATGCTCCGAGGGGCTTCTCAGAAACCAGCCTGGAATTTTCGTCCTATTGGTGGTAGAAAATAAGCTTTTCTGTTTGAAATTGTTCCAATGTAGAGTTAGTCGCCTCCGTAGTGAATTTACAGTGCGGATTTTCTTGTCTTAGAAGCGACATTCACGTTAATAGCCTGGGCGTCAGACTGTTTCCAGGGCCTACACAGGTCAGTTCCTCGGCTCCAGGGCTAACACGCCCCAAGGAAATTTTACCACAGCCCTCCTCAGTTAGACCTTGATCCACTCCCTGGCTAGCTCTGGAGCTAGCGTGCTCTGGGTCTAGTCTCTACGAGACTGGCAAAGTGGGTTCAAAATCAGTATAATTTAGCTAAATAGGTAGAGATAATTGGCCAGGAGAGTTTGGCCACTGTAGAGTTCATTTATATGCTTCGTAGGAAAAAAAAACTAACCTTCCAATTATTCTTCCCTTTTTTTATCGAATTCTACGATCCGTACCCCCGCAGGAAGGCCTGATGGAGGCTATCATAAGTCTAGTATCACGTTCATTGCCTTACCCTGTACACCTTCCCGCGTCACATGTTCGCACAACCTAATTTGCATAAACAGGAACAAAGTTTGCTCGTGCTGGTTGTTTATTGCCGCAGGGCTGCTGACTGTGTCGGTTCTTGATTTTTCGTTTCAGGAACTTCCTTGTCGGGGACGCCCAAAAAATCTTTTCTAACGCAGCAGAACAATCAAATTGTCGTCAGGGTATATGTACAAGTCGACAGGCGGATTCTTGCGACCACCTTGAGTCCACAAGGGCCTTTAAGGGCCTTGTTAATTTCGCGTTTACCTGCAAAGTGAGTTAGGGTTTGAACGTGAGGAGGTAACAACATGGGGAAGAGGTTGACATTATGGGCGTGTGCCGTCCTGGCGGCCAACATTTGCGGGCTTTTTGAGGTAAGGCGATACCGCTAACTGTTCAGGTTTACATACTTGAAACAACGCCGTGTGTTAAGACATGTTGAGACGACAGATTGCTTTAAGCTCACCTGCTACGGTTGCTACGCCCTGCAAAGGGCACCTGTTTCATTTTCCGGCTGCAACGTTAAGTCAACAATGCTGCTTGCAGTAAATGGCGGACGAGCAGATTTCTCAGACACAAAACGACTTCATTGTTTCAGGAACAAAATTTGTTATTGAGTGACTGTCGTATCAGGAAGCGTTCTTTCTACTATTACTATTACCGAGGGCTTAGACAGATCGCACACTAAGGGCATTCTTGGGATGTGTCCTTGAATTTTCGGCTGCCTATTAAATGTTCCCGACAAGGCTGTCTAGATCCTTGTCGGCTGTTGGGTCTGCTTAAAAATACCACGACATCAAAATCGCACCACGGCCTAGGGCTAAGGTGACTGCACTGTAATCTAATCAGCTCTAGTAAATTTTCTTTTTTTAAACCGTGATTCGTGACACAAGGAAAAGGGGAAGGAAGAGCTCTAGATCTACAGATATCGCCGTGGTTCATTAGTTTTCGGTCGTGTGTCACGGTCGTGTGCGTCTCTGCCAGGCACCAGGCGGCTGAAAAGAGCAGAAATTTGCCGAAGCGGAGAACTGCACTCCCCTAGCGGACTTAGCCTCTACCAGGCTTCGAGAGGCGGCTGGAAAGGGTAGAAATCGGTCAAATAGAGAGACAGCATGCCAAGGGAGTTTGGTCGGCTGGAGAGAACAGTTTGCCGCTCCCGCTCTCTAGCTCGCAGACCAACTCTCTTGGCATGCTATCTCTCTATTTGGCCGATTTCTACTCTTTCCAGCCGCCTCCCGAAGCCTGGTTGAGGCTGTAGCGGATTAACTTTCTTGGCATATTATTTGGCTATTTCTACTCTTTCTAGCCGACTCTGAAGCATGGTAGAGGCTGTATACTGTATAGGTAGATGTATTCTGTTTTATGGTTGCAACTCTAGCCATTATGTTCCTCTTTTCATGCAGTCGCGTCATTCTTTTTGGTGGTAGGATAGAAATACGAAACGAATTCGTGCACATATGGCACGCAAAGCACGGTCGTTAAGCTCGAAAATTTAATTATAAAGATCGATATTTTGTTTTTATGGAACTGATCCTCATTTGCGCAGTCTGTAACTCAATCCCCGGAACTTAAGCTGTATGCGACGATTGTGCAACGGAAAATTGACTTAACTAATGTTGCACCAGCAAAGCTAAGTTCACACGAGGGCCACTTGGTATTCCGTGTTTTTGTCAAATGAAGACTTTGATGACGGAAGTTGAAGTTGTTTGCCTAATTTGTTCCGCCCTGTTTTGATGATCACACGTGACGTGCACGTTGTGGACTGTGAGATACAGCTGAAAGTGCAGTGTACGTAGCCTCAACACAAGCAAGTTCAAAGGCGGCTGGAAAAAGGAGAAAAAATGGCCCAATAGACCGCTTTTTGCCCGCTAAAGGAGTACAGTTTGACACTCTGAACTATACTCTTTTAGCGGACAGACTCCCCTGACATGTTATCTGTCTATTTGGCCAACTTCTACTCTTTGTAACCCCAGAAAAACCGGTAGAGACTAGTGTACGTTCAAAGCTCGCGTTGCAGAGTTCATTTGTAGCGTGACAAACACTTCAAACTGGGCACAGTCCAATTATTATGGCAGCGAAACAAATAAATCAAAACGGTTCTGCTGCAGTACCATAGGAATCCCATAGAGGACCCAGAATCGAACGCGCCCTTTAATTGTTACCGATACCTATCCACAGACTAAATTTCCACTTCACACAATTCACACAGCTACTCAAGTTATGATATCCACAAACCTAATCTCCAAGCATTTTGGTGGCTGTACAAAGGCAAAACCAAATTTGCCTGAGGCTGTATTAATTGGCCAGACCCAAGGTGGCGATCGAAATGGTAACTGTCTGACAATGGATACTGCCCCAGGCCAATTTGATTCTGTCTTTGCAACCACCAAATGATGTGTACAAACCCACAAACTACACACCCAAAACATGACCTTTTTGGCGAGGGTGAACATGCAGGAAGAAGTCCGGATAAATCCCCGCGTCCCAAAATAACTTGTACGTCATTAAGCCAGTGTAAATGTCATTGGTTAGTACCAGGCCTGGGCTTGTACAGTGGCGCACTGTTGTGTCATAATCCAACGTATCGCCCCACGAACGTTGGATACAGGCGGCTAATGGATACAGGCGGCCAACCTAAAGTTGCCCCACCGAATCTGCTTGGAGATTAAGATTATAATACTTTATAATATTTCTGAACACGAACAACCGTAAAACACAACGGTAGTAGCAGAATATCG